ACTGAAACTATCGCACTTCACACAATAGAACCTGTCCCTTTGAAGCAATTAGATTCCAACATACCTGTCTACCTTGTCATCCTCATCTTCATCTTCTTCCACAGCTATTCCGTTAGATGAAATAGCGCTAGGGTCCTCAGTAGCTCCCATTTCAAGGTTGTCGTTGTGTTCTATAACATTTTCAATCAGAGACTTCAAAAATGATTTTGACGAAAAGTGGGTAATTAACCATCACTACAAAGCCACGGCAAATGGTATGGAAAAAAGAAAAACAGACAATCAAGAAAAGTTAATAGAAGGTGATTGTGGAGCTAAAGACATCCAAAAAACGAATGAATTATGAGAGAGAGAGAAAAAAAAATGAATGAGAGTCTAATTTGGAAAATTTTAACACCACGAAAATCAAGTCAGTCATGTTGTCCCCCCAGGCTACTCTGGTCTCAATTTCCCGGCCGCGTAGTCATGGAAGATTTGTCGACCTCGAGCGTGGGATCGAAACATCGACCATGTCTGCGTCTCAGGGCGCTTCTGACCACTGCGTTACAATTGGAAAAAAAACTAGCGAAGTGGCCAGAGAGGAATGCATAGAATTCGCAGAGAGGATAACGGAAATTAGGAGTCGTGACATTCATACTAAGCAGCTGAAAGAATTCTATTTCAAAGAACTATTTGTTTCTACTGATCTGACTGCTCTTTAGTACCGTTATAATGTTGTAAATTAACATTTGAGATTGCTGAGTGAGATGAAGAACAATAGACTTCGAAAGTAAGTTAAACCGCCTTTCACTCAAAGCGAGGGTGCGCGCTACCACTACTCCATCAAAGTCTCCTTTTCCACCACTCTTCCATAAAAACTATCCACTCTGTCAGCAACTAACCCTTGATGGATTTGATCTAATAACATATCTAACCACATATAGAGAAATAAATCAGTTGAGCCGACAGTTATCAGAAACGTATAGTTTATAATGTTTCAAATGTTTACTAACACTCCTATAAAGAATTCTTCTTTAGCGAATGAGATCGGTTTTTCATTTGTCTCATTAAAATAGACAAGTAACGTAATTTCATAAAAACGTACCATTTCGCGCCTTTCCTTGATCACATTAGCAACATTTTTTGCTCTTGAAAGGGAACGATTCCAGGCGATGGAGAGTACCTGGAAGTTAGACCCTAAGAGTTCCAGCAATAAAAGAAACAAGACATACCGACGTATTATCAACCGACGAAAACGACTTGAAGAAGTTAGTTTCGAAAGAAGTGGTGAATCAGCATTAGACGTGTTTCAAAGCTCAAAAAATGACCAAAACTAATAATTCATAAGACTGGATAGGTAGAACACAAACCGGGACGACGGCGAAGTAACTGCAATAGACTACCGTTACTCTTCAAACTCAGGACCATCGCACTGAAACCACCATGTCTACTTCAGAGATTAAAAAGCTCGAAGATCCATAGCAGTTATTCCAACAGACCTGCATACTTCGTCATCGCCATCTTGCATTTCTTCCACAGCCACTGTGTCCGGTGGAATAGCTCTTAAGTCCTGATTAGCTCCTAATTTCATATTATTGTCGTACTCTATAATACTTCCACTCAGAGATCTGAAAAGTAATGCTCACGAAAATTGGGTAATTAAATATCATTGGAAACTGTCATCGAAAGGATCTGAAAAGAAGAACGCATAATGAAGTGGTCAAAAGCTGAAAAAAAAGGAGTAAGCTGAAAAACGAATCACGATACTTTTCCGTTTGGTAGCACAGATATTCAAGGCCTATTCCCTACACTGGGCAAGAGGTTTCCATAGAGATCTGTAATTATTCGAAAGCTTAAATCTCAGGTTATCGCTGGACGTGGCCGGCTTTTTGGAATCACCTTTATGTAGCTTGGAAAAACTCAAAATGAAACTGTGTCACGCCCGCATTTTTGTCGCAGTGCAGAGTCCTTTTTTCAGAGTATTAGTGATCGTCCGATAGAGCAAAATTTACTGATTCCAACACTGTGCTTATATCCTGAAAAGACAGTTTCTCTGCAACGCAGCTGGGAAAATAAGATTGGTTCACATGCGCGAGCAGGTATTCTTTGGCCAATTCGCGGGCTGTGGGGTGGAGGCAGGGGCTGGTGGGCGCGAACATTGATATGGCGCCTAAGTGAGGTGTATTTGATTATTACGTTTCATCGCTCTGGACGAAACTCCGGATCAAACATCTGACTTTGATACTAGAAGATTTCCTTTACACGTCCATGTACTTTTCGTTCATCCAGCAGAGTAATAGTTGGCCTATCCGTTGCTCTAAACACTATTATTGATTTTTCACCGTTACAAAAGGGACTTCTCTAAAAACCGGTCACGTACAGCGCCAGCTTGAGATGTAAGCTTTCTAACAACTACTAACACTCTCTATATGGAGGGCAAGGGAAAGGGAAAGGGGAGAGAGGGGAACAGAATGCACATGAACAGGCACTTGTGTTCGTTATGAAGATATTGATGCCTTTCGACATTGGATACGATGTGAAATCTGTAGACTTCATTTTGTTCCCGCTTGTTTATTTTGGTACACAGAAAGCTTGCCCTCTACTTTTCATGATCAATCGGGAGCCATTGCTGAACGCAAGACGCTGGGGTCAGAGACGAAGATTGTTGGGTCCATGATCCCGAGCGGGTTAACCCTTTGGCTTCCGCGATGATATATAGCCTGGCATGCAACGAAGTCGCTCAGTGGAAGGACGCACTCCAAGGATAATTTCGTAGTTTCTCTTTTTGTCAAATTCTCTTCTGAGATATTACAGTCAGTCATGATGATGATGAAGAGTGGGGGAAGGGGCGGGGCTAGACGAGCGCCAATCCAAATTCTTCCTAAGGGGTCGCGGGCTGTGTACCATGTACAATACGCGTCGAAGGCAAAGGGTTAATTTATGCATATGCTGGGACAAATATCGTCCGCAGAAAGATGCACTACTAGCGAAATCCCGCTAGAACACGTACAGAAAGCCTTGCGGGCTAGCAGTTCATTTCGTAAGCGAGGTACCACTGCCACTAACCCTTTGCAGACGGTAACTGATCGATCTTGGTAACTAGCGTGCGATTTTCGTTGCTTAATAAGGACTTCTTTCCGTTGCGGAGAGAACTCCAGATTTTTTGTAATACTCTAGTACTACTCAATTTTCTTTACACGATCATACACTTCTTTTGCACATATAGCTCTTAGCTGCAAAGAAAACTTCAAGTGTGAAACGCGTTCCGTTCTTATCTACCATAAAGCGACAAATGTAAAACCGATCTCACTCGCTGAACGGGAATTTTTCATAGAAGTGTCGGTAATCATTCAAAAGCTCAAACTTCTGGCTAGAGCCGTAGGCAACCAGCTTCTTGAAAGACCCTTTCATGGCGCTGTAAAATTCAAAATAAAATTCTGCTTCACACGGCTGTGCAATCCAAATCTTACTTCGCCAGAAGCACGAAAAGGACACGAACGTGTAGAGAATTTGTTGTAGTATCTGACTAATACGTTTAACCTGGAATTCCTTTCGAAGCGGAGAAGTAATTCCTAGTTGAATAAAAAACATCACACTCTCCAAAGCGCCAATCGATCGATCGTGGCCGGCACCTCCCAACCGTGAATTAGCCTGTGAACAAGCAAGCCGAATGTGTGAAACTCGCTCTTATCTTCTCTGCAACTTTGCAGAGAAACACCCTTTTCAGAAGATAAGCACAGCGTTGGAATGCCTCAATCCTACATTATCGGATGATTACTAATAGTCTGAAGAAATAGCTTTGTCATGCGAGAAAAATGCGTGTGGGGAAAACAAGGATTTTTCTTCTGTAACAACGTAAAAAAAGGCTTTTTCGAAACCGGGCTTTGTGGTAGTGTAGGAAGAGATTTAAGCTTTCAAATGATTACTAACACTCCTACGAAAAGCTCTTGTCCAGTGAAGGAGATCGGTTTTCATTTGTCGCTTTGTGATAGACGAGTACCTATACTATTCTTTCCGCTTCTATAGCGCGCTGTGGAAACTTTCTCATTAACCAAATCTAGCATCGAAATTGTCGAGCTTTGTGTTACAGAATAAGTAATGGTATGGTATAATGGGATAAATCGAGTATGAGATGTTTCCACCAAACTGAGACTAATTTTCGAAGTAGCCCCTTAGGAGAAAGAATCTCGTGGACGACGAGAAGGCAGGAAAATCCAGATCTTCTTAAAGCTAAACAAATTTGATTGGAACAAAAGAGTTGATGAAAAAAGACGTTCAATCGGGCCCCTGAAGCATCGGGAAATGGATGAACATGGGGGTATTTGCTCTTTCTTTGGACTCCTACGACTACTTGTATTCGAGCCGGCTGAGCACGCACTATTTAGAGGGACCCCGATGGCTTCTTAGAGCAATGCGGACCTTGACTTTTGTTTATTTTCATGGGCTACGGTTTCCTCATCCGTGATGCGCCAAACAGTGTATTACGAGGTTGAGGACAGCACGGTCTTAGGTAGCAAACTGGAGGTTCAAGCGCTTAGCAAAGATGCCCAAATATTTCCTTTAAGAGATTGACTGGAAGGACGAAATCTATATTCCTATTGCAGGAGTGGGAATGGGAGGAAAAGGGAGAGAGAAAGGAGGACGGAAAGGAGGAGGGAAAGAGGGAGGGGAAGGGGAGGGAAAGGACCCCAGCCGGTTGATCAAAGCACTCCGATCGTAAAACAAATGTTTACTTCGGCGGTTACAGCACACTAAACAGGCCTTTAAGTATACAAGCACTTTCTCGAAGTCGCTGTGATTTAAGCTCTCAAGTGATACTACTCATGTCCTAGGGAAGCGCTCTCTCCAACTAAGGTCTTCAAATAATCGTGTACCGCGACGCGTACCGGGTACACGCCGTCCCGAACGGGTTAAAGACTGTGCACCTTGAAAAGTGTTGCTAATAAAGAGGCGCAGAAAGGCCTTGAAGATGACTATAAATTTGGCGATATATCCAGCATTTTCGAGTGATATGCAAGACTCCGAGCCTCAGGCGGGAGTTGAACCCGCGTCTCACGCTTCCCAGGGCGAGTGCTAACCCTGCATTACCAGAGCTCCTGTTGTGCCATCAGTCTTTCCGCGATTCTATAATGAATATGACCCTTGTGAGGATTTTTTGCTCTGGTGAAATGATCCGCCTACTGAAGAGATCTGTTCACAAATGTTTGGTGGCAACGAGCTTACATTTAATGCGCTTCCAAAGGGCCTAATTCGTTCTTCATGGTAAGGAGATTTGTAGTAAATAATGAGACGCGGACTAATTAACCCTCTGAGAAACAGGGTTGATAGGCAGACGACGTCGCGCTGCCGCTTTCCCACGAGACGCGACTTCCGTAAAACAAATAAACCAAAGGGAAAGGTGTGACATCTGTAGAATTTTTTTTTGGATTTACAGGAAGTTCCCCTTATTTTCATCAAAAACGACTACTTTTGCGTATGGGATGAGATAACAGAGTACGAAATCTGGAAAGAAAACATCGCATTTTTGTTTACCGAGGGTAAATAACTTGAAAATCTGCTGAAAAAAGTAGGACTGCGTGGAGAAACTTTTTTCTCAACGTACAAGAGTTATCGACGAACCGCAGAAACACGTACGTGCAGAGAAAATCATTGAGAATATACAGAAAAAAAAAACGCAGGAATTTTCCCAAGATCGAAGACAAAAAGCGATCCGTAGATCACAAAACCAACCAGAGAGGAGCAGAGCCACGAGAAACCGCGACCGAATTACTACCGTAATTCAAAAAATTAGGCGTCATTCCTAAAGTTTGATCTGCTTCGCAACCTGGTGTACTCCGTAAAATTTCGTCAATTGATTTGTTTTAGCCCATTGCTTGATTTTGTTCGGGTTTTATCTTTGTTTACCGCCCCCGTTTGTTTATTGTTTACTGTTTACCGTTTACTATTGTTGCTTATTTGTTTACACAACCTGTTCTTACAAGTCTTTACTCGGCGGGTGGGAGCATCTCTTGCATTCGACGCGTTCCCTCGCTGTCATCCTTCCCTCAAGTCTTTCGCGTATCGTTTCGACTGCTGCTTGAGGTTTTGCCTTCCTTATGGATGTTTTGCGGATAGCCCAGGTAACGAGTTCTCTAACACGTCCGTTGACTCATGGCAAGAGAGCTCTGCAGAGGGGTTCGAACCGGCGCCGTACCACCTTGCTTTTTTTGGGCTTTGCTTCGCTAGCCTCTGCGCTATTCTACCGTCTTTAAGTCCTTATTCTCTTCTATGAAAGAAGTATTTCACATCTTTTTTGACTTCTAGGGAGCTCTCGAGCTCCTCCCTTATCGACAGAACTGCACATCTTCGGCTATTCTCAATTTTGCCGTGAAATTTCCTAGATAAGAGCGATTTGTGCTAGAAAACAGTACTCAATGGTAGTCTTAGTGGTCCTTAGTAGTTTTATTAGCCTGGTAATTTTTAATGTTTTTAGTTGTTCTCGAAAAAATAAAAGTAAAAGTAATAAAGCATAAGTAAAAAGAAACAAAAAATATTTAAAAAAATAAAATATGCTCTGAAAAAAATATTTTATTGCTGGAAAGCGCATGGGCTTGTCCGTCCCTCCTCGTAGAAATCAATCAACTTTTATCTATAGGATTTCAGAGTTTCTTGTCCTATTCGACACCTGTCACCGTGCTTATCACCTTCCGATTATCTCACCGCATCACTAACCACTGCGCTAGCCTGTTCTGTACAATATGCCTTTTTTTTCCTTCACAAAAGACCGGCATTTGTTGAATGGGTTCCAGGATGAACACGTTGGCCGACTATGGAGACGAAAGCGACGAGGATTCACCACGACGACGTTCTTTCAAACGCGAGCCGGCAAAGTTGGTTTTTCGACTGCTTAAATTTTATTAGAAGTTCCCCTTAGAATAATTTGATTTATTTCCTTCTAGAAGTTTCAAAACTGGAGCAATAAACACCAAAAATCAGCAAGAAGTAATTGAAATTACATGATTTTGGTGTCGTTTAATTGCGCATTTTCCTGCGAACATTTTGGTATACAACTTGGATGAATTTGCTTCAAGATGAAGCTGTCGTGGAAAGAAATTTGCTTGCTACTCACGCACGAATGGAACTCAGAGGAAAATGCTAGTAGAGCGATGCACAGGATTGATGAAGCTTCCTGTGGACGACGCGAGCGCGACTGATCTTCCAGTCTGTTCTCTCCAGCTCTGAACATTGTGAGCCATTCCATAGTATACCCAATAATGTGGAGTGCTGTGCAAAAACATTTGCGTCAGCCAGGATTTGAACCAAGATCTCACTTTTTCCGGGAGCGTACGCTGACCGTTGCACCACCAACGAATCGCTGTATACCATAACATCATACCACTGCAAGTGGCAGTCAGATAAAAAGAATTCTCACTTCCTAGTGGTTCTTTCTTCTGCAGCCATACCATCGCTCCAAGCCATTAATTTAACGCACCGCTTCGCTTGCATTGTACCCTACGCGCCATTCGTGCATGAGTGGCAAGCGAATTTGTTGCTAGGGCAGCTCCGTCCTAGAGAAAAATTTAGGCAGTGTATAGCAAAATGTTCGCAAGAAAATGCGCAATTAAACGACATCAGAATAATGCAATTTTCATTGCAATATTCGTCTTTATTCAATATTGAATATATTATATTTGTCAACGCACCCGAGGTCACTGGTTCGATCTCGCGCTCATGGCTCACCAAGCCATCCATCCCTCCTGGGTCGGTAAATTGGTATCGAACTGGTCTGGGATTTGTCTGGGAGGATAGGCAGCACTGACTCGATTCAGCGGGAGGCCACCGCTAGTCATTGTAAAGGCCAGATGTGCATTCAATCACCTCAAACGAAGTTAAAAATTGAAGTCTAATGCATGGCGCATCCCTCAGGGATTGATCAACGCCGAGAGCTTTTTTTTATATTCGTCAATAATTATAGTCGTTATATCGACATTCAGGATTAATTGAGTTCGCGGCAATGATACGGCTGCAGAAAGAACGGTTAGGAAGTGGTTCGCGAAGTTCAAAGCTGCACAGAACAGTTTGGAGGTTCAGTCGCGCACGAGCCGTCCATAGGAAGCTGCATTAATCTCGCGCGCCGCTTTACTTGATTTCTCCCCTGCGAGCCATTCGTGCATGAGTAGCAATTCAATTTGTTCCCACGACGGCTCCATCTCAAAGCCAGTATAGGCAGGTTGTATACCAAAACGTTGCAAGAAAATGCGCACTTGAACTATGCCGGAATCATGCAATTTTAACCCTTTAGGGACTGCGGTTGATCGATGCCACGGCGCAACTCGCAAGGGGGCGCGCGATTTTCCGTATTCAGTTAGGGTTATTTCTCCATTTGGGAAGTAGAACTTCAAGTTTTTTGTGTTACCCGCATACTCCATGATATTCTCTACATAATATGTTCTTCATGCATATATAGCTTTTTTGTATGGAAACTTTGAGCGCAAAACGTAATTTTTTTTTACTCCTGCAGCGTTCTATGATAACCTTTCAAAAGCAATTCTAGTGTTCAAATGTCGCGGTATCGCGTATCCCCTGTGGGCGAGGTCGCCAAACCCCAAAAATACCATCGTACTTTGCCATTAAAAGAGAATGAGCAGTAAATAAACATTAGGATTACCATGTACCGTCTACAGACACGAATAAGTAATAGCTTGGTAAGGAAGTTGTGAGGCACCGATTGAAAATTGGAAACATGACCATGAATTCCGAAAAAGCAATAATAACTATTCTTCAAAATAAAGGTCATCGTGTTCTATCACTTTCCCCTTCGGTCTGCGAAGTTTCCGATCTGCACGAAGTACTGTTCCTTCGACTTTAAATCTAAGAACTCTTCACATGCTCTTCAAAATCATCAAACGATTAAAATTGGACGTCCTGAACAGGGCTTGTCTTCGAGGTCAAGATCTGCGGTTACAAAGCGTTGAGACCAGCTTCCAGCGGCAGGTTTGCTTGTGGTACCTTTCCCTTCAACTTCGTTGGTTTCAACAACTACAGCTCGTTGTAAAAGCTCGCTTTCTCCAATAATGACGCAATAAAACACGGATTTCTATTGTATCATTGGACATGACGGAGGCTTGTGACAACAAAAAATAAAGACGCTAAAGTGAGACGAATAATATCTACGCCTCCAGTGGGGAACTCTCATATAAGACTGTAATCTTCCCATGATATGCATGAGAATTATCTCCTGCTTATTAAAGTGCTCCAAAACTTTTTGCCAATCCTAGTATGATCACATTTCAAAAAACTTTTTACGTCATCGAAATCGCGGGGTTATCAAATGGCTAGTAAGAGTTTGGCGAAGAGCCGTTTACAAGCCCTAGCCGAGCAAATAAGCCAACTTAGCGTGAGACGTAATTCTATTTTCACTTCTACAACGTAATAAAGAGCCTTTATCAAAAATCAAACATGTTGTTGAAGTAGCAGAGATTCGAGCTTTCGAATGGTTGCCAAATGTCTAAGCGAAAAGTTTTGCCCAACAAGAAAGGCATTCAAACAATCGTGTACCTCAGGTGGTACGCGTCCTTTACGGGTTAATTACTTCTATAAATTTGATGTTTATTGCTCTACTCCAAAACTTATAGACTAACCTAGTATTTTGGTTAATAAATGTCTTTAGGAGCTCCTGATGATGAGTTTAAAAAAACGTGTATTTAATTTCTTGAGGTAATGGCTTAGGTGAAGCACCAAGTTCGGCGACGTCACAAGAGACACAAGAGAACACGAGCGTTCATTCAACAAAAGCCCGTCGAGATTCGGACTATTCGCCAAGACCACGACGAGACTCTGATGCGATGTTTGATGGTTAGTGATGTACTCGATCATTGTGAAGTGCTTTCACCTTTATAGGCTTAGATTGGTCCGAAAATGTAGTTCACTCTTTCTGGTTGCCAAATATCACCTGTATCACCTGTCGTCCCGTTGATCGTCGAGTGACTCGAGCGGGTACCAGCAACTCTTCCATTTTTCCCTATCGCGTGCAAGAGAAGCCCAGTGGGTCCTCCTTGCTCTAGGAATTCGCTGAGCATCATATCTTTTTTCCATCGCTTTCGTGAAGAAATCGG